GAGACACCGCGAGCCGGCGATCACAGCACATCATTTGCATTTCCACTCAACGGGACGCCATAATAAAGCCGCGGTCTTCAACTCTATAGAGCACGGGTGGAAACCGCCAAACATGATCAGACTTCACAGTGTGTGTGTGTGTGTGTGTCAAACACAATCTAATCTACTTCTGGTCACAGAGTGATTTCTGAAGGATCATGTGACACTGAAGACTGGAGTAATGATGATCAATTACACTTTACTGTATATTCAATTTACTATAATAACCAAATGTATTTTTACACTCCACAGATCAATAAAGAAATAGGAAGATATGCATTATAATATAAAGCGCCGTATGATTGGAATAAACTTCCAATTTCAATTCGCTTTTTAACTTTTTTTCCAACATTTAAAATCTTCAGAATACATGTCATTGCTTTTGATTAGTATTACCGGTATTTTATTTTATTATATTTATTTCTCACTGTAACTTATTTTTTGGCATGGTATATATATGAAGAGTTCAGATGCAAAAGCCTCTAAATGCCATTTGAAATTTTCTTCTAGAATGATCATTTTTATCAAGCTTGTATATTTAAGTTCAGTGATTTCACTTAAATGGCAATGAAGATTACCTATTAACTGAACTTAAATATACAAGCTTGATAAAAATGATCATTCTAGAAGAAAATTTCAAATGGCATTTAGAGGCTTTTGCATCTGAACTCTTCATATATATATATATTTTTTTTGTCTGTATATGAGTTTACTTGTGTTTTGATGTTGTCTTGGTACAAATGATATGGTTTACTCTGTTTAGGGAGGAGTGTGTCACCTTTTGGGAGTCTTGTATGAATGAATGTCTTGTTTGTATGGTTTTGGTTTAAAAATTTAGCTATATAGTATTAATGTAAAGCATGTTTTTTTTTTTTCTTGTGTATTTTTTATTTGTTTTTGTTTTTTGCTATTTGTTATGTTAATTTCCAGCTGCTGTTAGGTCAATTTTTTATTTGAATCTTGAATCGAGGACCCCCTCGAAAACGAGATGGCTCATCTCAAGGGGCTATTCCTCTTTAATAAAATGTCAAACACACATATATATATATATATATGAAGAGTTCAGATGCAAAAGCCTCTAAATGCCATTTGAAATTTTCTTCAAAAATTGACCATTTTTATCAAGCTTGTATATTTAAGTTCAGTAATTTCACTTAAATAACAATTAATAGGTAATTATCATATCCATTTAAGTGAAATTACTGAACTTAAATATACAAGCTTGATAAAAATTATCATTCTAGAAGAAAATTTCAAATGGCACTTAGAGGCTTTTGCATCTGAACACCTTCATATATACACACACACATATATATATATATATATATATATATATATATATATGGTCATATTAATATTTCTCCCTAATTAAGAATGGACTGAACAGCATTGGAGATTCACACACACACACACACACACAGTATTTGAGTGTCTCACTGAAGAGAGTTGGATCTCTTACCTTCGGGTTCTCCAGAAGTCCAGACTCATAGCTGTGAAACACAGGTGTGTGTGTGTTCAGTGTTAGTGCAATAACAGCAGAGAGACGGTACAGTGTGTGTGTGTGTGTGTGTGTGTGTGCAGGTCACCTGATATGCATGAGATTGGCATCCATACTCCACGGAGCCTTCGGCGTCACCGGCACGGGGATATCGTGCTTCTAGCAAACACAAAAACACTCTTCTCAAGAATCTGCAAGTCAATTCCCTACATAACTGCAAAGAAACACATTTACACTCCTACACAAACACACACACACACACACGAAACTTTAAAAAATCTACAGTGTAGTATTTGAGAAGCTTCATGTTTGTTTAATGCATAAAGATTTACACACACACACACACCTGATGCAGATTCTCTATAATATAATATATGCAATATGGAGCACATTTATATTTGTGTATGTTTTTTATTGGTTTTCGTTTTGTAAAAAGTTTTATTTTTTTGTTTGTATATTTGTATTTTTTTAATAAAGTTAAATTTTTTTGTATTTTATTTTATTTCTTATAATTGAAAAAAAAATCCGATGTAGATCCTGTATAATATAATAGCGGATTATAAATGAACTAAATCTCATTAATGAACTAATTGATGAGAAGTGCACTGAGAGTGAACGCTGATTAAAGGATCAGGTTTAGTTCAGATTCAGTTCTTCAGCTCCATCTACTGGACTCAATTAACAACTACAAACATTGCAAAAAACAAAACGTACATACAAACCAATAAAAATGACAAAAACACACAACAAAATTACAAAAAAAATAAAACAATTTTTTACAAAAAAGTCTAATAGTATATTAATGATACTAAAATAACAAATATTGTAATAACAAAATCACCATTTATTATTTGACAATATTATTGATAATATTATTGACAACATTCGACATTTTTATTTACAGAAATTAGATGCACCAATATATAAAATAATTAAATGAAAATAATAAATCAAAATTCTGTGGTTTCAGAAAATGTTAATCAGTTTTTTTTAAATGCAATTTCTACCTGATAAAATGTTTTCAAGTTTTTAAAATAACTAGAAATATATAAATTAATTCCCCAGCTTATTAAACTGAGGACAGGATGAAGTGATCATGTCAACTCAAGTCACATTCACTTATATAGCAATCATCACTTCAACAAGCTCATTATATCTGCACTAAATTATTACATAACCAACTGTGACTTTGAAAGTGAGATATTTCAAGCCTTTATTTGTTATTATTTTGATGATTATGGATTATATTCTAATTTTGACTTTGCACCATATTCTTATTTTTCCAGTTTCCCCTGTGTATATATATGTGTGTGTGTGTGTGTGTGTGTGTGTGTGTGTACCTCTGCGTACTCCATCAGGTCGCTCCTGCCACGGAAGCGTGTGTAGAACTGGGGAATCCTCCAGGGGGCGATGATCTGAGGATCAGGAGGAAAGATGAGGGTCGGAGAGATGGATGATGGGTAACACACTCATACTCATGATGATGTTCACTGACCTGCACTTCAGGATAGAGAGCGTAACACGTCAGCTCGAAGCGGACCTGGTCGTTCCCCTGAAACACACACACACACACACACACATGAGCTGATAACTCCATCATCACTGTAAAAACTCTGGACAGATGGAATTGAATTTACTTTGCATCATTTACAGTACTTTTATATTCATTGACTTTTTAGGATTTTATTAATTTCCATGACTTTAAGATCTTATTAATATCCATGACTTTAAGATTTTATTAATTTCCATGACTTTAAGATTTTATTAATTTCCATGACTTTAAAATTTTATTAATTTCCATGACTTTAAAATTTTATTAATTTCCATGAATTTAAGATTTTATTAATTTCCATGACTTTAAAATTTTATTAATTTCCATGACTTTAAGATTTTATTAATTTCCATGACTTTAAGATTTTATTAATTTCCATGACTTTAAGATTTTATTAATTTCCATGACTCTAAGATTTTATTAATATCCATGACTTTAAAATTGTATTAATTTCCATGAATTTAAGATTTTATTAATTTCCATGACTTTAAGATTTTATTAATTTAATTAACTTTAAGATTTTATTAATTTCCATGACTTTAAGATTTTATTAATTTCCATGACTTTAAAATTTTATTAATTTCCATGACTTTAAGATTTTATTAATTTCCATGACTTTAAGATTTTATTAATTTCCATGACTTTAAGATTTTATTAATTTCCATGACTTTAAAATTTTATTAATTTCCATGACTTTAAGATTTTATTAATTTCCATGACTTTAAAATTTTATTAATTTCCATGACTTTAAGATTTTATTAATTTCCATGACTTTAAGATTTTATTAATTTCCATGAATTTAAGATTTTATTAATTTTCATGACTTTAAAATTTTATTAATTTCCATGACTTTAAGATTTTATTAATTTCCATGAATTTAAGATTTTATTAATTTCCATGACTTTAAGATTTTATTAATTTCCATGACTTTAAGATTTTATTAATTTCCATGAATTTAAGATTTTATTAATTTTCATGACTTTAAAATTTTATTAATTTCCATTACTTTAAGATTTTATTAATTTCCATGACTTTCAGATTTTATTAATTTCCATGACTTTAAGATTTTATTAATTTCCATGACTTTAAGATTTTATTAATTTCCATGACTTTTTTAGGATTTTAATAATTTCCATGTTTAGAAATCACACTTTTAAAGTTATATATTTTTATAGGGTATGAGTTGTGCTTTTCATTAAAAAAAAGACACAGTCTTCCTAAAAATAGGGATTGACACCCGACAGGATTCAGACGTGTTTCAGTGATTAATGGACACATTTACTTCTGTAAAGTCTGCATTTGATGAAAGATAATAATTAATTTTAGAAAAAGTTAATATTTGATTTGTTACTCTGTATGTCAGTGACCTTTAACCCTAATCAGAGAACGGCAAACGTGTAGATGTTGTTAAACTGTAATATTTTCTTGTGATTTTGATGTTCCTGACTCGAACACTGATCCCAGATCAGGCGTCTGCTGCCATCTAGTGCTGGAACTGATGAACTGCACTTACACACACACACACACACACACACACACAGCTTTTATTCGACTTAATTCTCTCTACTTTACTCTGTAACTGGATCTGCACTAATAGATGTCAACATACACACAGGCCAAAAGATTGAATATTTAAGATTTTTTAATGTTTGTAAGAGCCTCTTCTGCTCATCAAAGCTGCCTTTATTTGATAAAAATACTGTAAAAACAGTGAAATATTATTCCAGTGTAAATCATCTCTTCTCTTTGTGAATATACAGTAAATCTGAATTTATCATCATTACTCCAGTCTTCAGTGTCACATGATCCTTCAGAAATCACTCTATATGAGGATCTGATGATCAAACATTTATGATTATTATCAATGATCTTATCAATGAAAACCTTTTCACAATTTTCTAATTTTGAATTTGGGGTTTTCATATCTGTAACCCATAATTATCACAATTATAACAAATAAATGTCTCACTTTGCATGTAATGAGTCTATATAATATATTAGTTTCAACTTTTAAGTTGAATTACTGAAATAAATGAACTTTTGCACCATATTCTCATTTTTTCCAGTTTCACCTGTATATATAGAGAAAAAAATGTGCCAAAATTCAGAATATTTGGAAGATATCGCTGAACATTTATAACCACAGCAAAAGTAAATTTCTAACTTATATTAATTTTTCATCTCTATTTTTTGATATCTGATATTATTTTATCCTCCAATATGTTATCTAACAAATGCTTCGCTAACTATCAGAAGACACTATTAGAACTATGATATTCTAATCTATAATTTTATGAATTCTATTGAGAAAACATGAGAAAAAGACGAATAAACACTGAGAGTCAATGTTCAGAAATTATTCATTATTATTATGTTTTGAACTATGCTGTTTGTTGGGGTTTATTTTTAATTATAAAAAAATGCCATTATTTTATATGAAAAAGTTAGTTTGTATTTTAGTTTTTAATCTGTCATATGGTCATGTTACAATGAACCTACGGGGCATGTTGTCACAGTTCACTTCCATTCTTTCAGGGTATATCATGAACAAATTATACGCCGTATTAATAAAACAAAACCACATAATTGTACTAGAAATTTGGGGAAAAATAAATACTCTGAACCCTAAGCAGATTTAGGCTACACAAACTGAGCAGTACGTCTCGCCTAGCGTTCAAAAGTTTGGCGTCAGCCATTTTAGTTTTCTTTTCACAAAGTAATGAAGCTTCTGAACACTGATAATGGTTTCGGCACCTTTCCCGTGGCTCCGTGAGAGACAAACTGAGCTCGTTCCTGCTGGGCGATCTGGACCTGCCGGCGAGCGATGCAGGGGCGAGCGAGCGCCGTGCCCAACAGATAGCGGTCCTCGTACACGCCGTTAGCCTGAACCGACGGCCAGATGAACTCCTCCACAAACTCACAGCGCAGGTCTTCAACAAACACCTGGAACACACACACACATGCATGAGTCCATATTTACAATTTAGAGGAAACAGTCTAAGTTATGCATTTCAGAAATGTACATATACAAAGTCATAGTTAGCTAAAAATGTATTAACTAATGCATATAATAAACAGGATTATAGTATAAACAGGATTGTCATTTTAGAAACTTCTGTAACACTTTTTTTCTTTCTTTCTTTTAATTTCGAACAACAAAAAAAATACAAATAAAATAAAATCTAAAAATACAATAAGTGTTGCAACATACCGAAAGAAAAAACAATATCTATAAAATATTATAACAATAATTACACTATGCTCGAAAGGGAGCTGAAGTAGATTACACTTTACAACTAAGTTCAATTAAACAGAAAATACTAAAATTAAAACTAGTGCTAATTTTGAAAAAACGTTTTCCCATGACTAGGGCCGTTCAAACCAACAACAATAACTGTAAAGACTAGATGAGTAAAGTTTGTAAATTTAGTAAAGTGGAAAGAGAAAGACACTGCTACCATGAATTAGCATGTTGTCAGCATACATTAACATACATTTACCACATTGTTAACATGAATTAGCACATTGCTAGCATGTTTTAACATGTTGTTAGCATGGATGAGCATGTTGCTGACATGAATTTATATGATTTAACACTTTGCTAGCATGAATTAGCATGAATTGGGCCTTAATGCTGCGTTTAAAATCCCTAATTAAATATCCCACTTCAGACCTCAATGAGTTCCAGCCAATCAGACGTCAAGTTCACATGTTGACCACATGATGTCGCCACACCACAACTAAAGCTTATATAACTTAATTTAACTCAATCATGATCACGATTAAAACACTTTACCATAAGCACTGAAGCATTATGAAAGCAAACATTCATGACACGTTCTAGTGCACTTCAGCTGTGATCAGTGTTTATCCGTCTTTACCTTCTTGGCTCCAAGTTTCTCCGCTTTCTTCCGGGCAGCATCAAAGTCCTCTTTCTGTCCGATATTAGCCTTTAATGTGAAAAAGAGTGATTACTGTGAGAAAACAGATCATTAAAAACAATAAAAAAATAACCTAGTCTGGTGTAGTCAAGACTAAACTAAACTAAACTAAACTACAAACAAACTAAACTCAACTACAACCAAACTAAACTAAACTAAAACCAAACCAAACCAAACCAAACTAAACTAAACTAAACTAAACTAAACTAAACTAAACTAAAACCAAACTAAACTAAACTACAACCAAACTAAACTACAACCAAACTAAACTAAACTAAACTAAAACCAAACTAAACTAAACTTCAACCAAACTAAAACCAAACTAAACTAAACTAAACTAAACTAAAACCAAACTAAACTAAACTACAACCAAACTAAAACCAAACTAAACTAAACTTCAACCAAACTAAATTACAACCAAACTAAACTAAACTAAACTACAACCAAACTAAACTAAAACTAAACTACAACCAAACTAAACTAAACTAAACTAAACTAAACTACAACCAAACTAAACTAAACTAAACTACAACCAAACTAAACTACAACCAAACTAAACTAAACTACAACCAAACTAAACTAAAACTAAACTACAACCAAACTAAACTAAACTAAACTACAACCAAACTAAACTAAAACTAAACTACAACCAAACTAAACTGCAACCAAACTAAACTAAACTACAACCAAACTAAACTACAACCAAACTAAACTAAACTAAACTACAACCAAACTAAACTAAACTAAACTACAACCAAACTAAACTGCAACCAAACTAAACTAAACTACAACCAAACTAAACTGCAACCAAACCAAACTAAACTACAACCAAACTAATATAAAATAAAATAAAAATAAACTATGACCAAACTAAAGTAAAGTAAAGTAAAGTACGGCCAAACTAAAGTAAAGTAAAACCAAACTAAACTAAAGTAAAATAAAGTATGACTAAAGTAAAGTATGACTAAACTAAAGTAAAATACAGTAAAGTAAGACTAAACTAAAGTAAAGTATGACTAAACTAAAGTAAAGTAAAACCAAACTAAAGTAAAGTAAAGTATGACTAAACTAAAGTAAAGTAAAGTATGACTAAAGTAAAGTAAAGTAAAGTATGACTAAACTAAAGTAAAGTAAAGTATGACTAAACTAAAGTAAACTATGACTAAACTAAAGTAAAGTAAGACTAAACTAAACTAAAGTAAAGTATGACTAAACTAAAGTAAAGTAAAGTAAAGTATGACTAAACTAAAGTAAAGTAAAGTATGACTACACTAAAGTAAAGTAAAGTATGACTAAACTAAAGTAAAGTAAGACTAAACTAAACTAAACTAAAGTAAAGTATGACTAAACTAAAGTAAAGTATGACTAAACTAAAGTAAAGTAAGACTAAACTAAACTAAAGTAAAGTAAAGTATGACTAAAGTAAAGTAAAGTAAAGTAAAGTCTGACTAAACTAAAGTAAAGTAAGACTAAACTAAACTAAAGTAAAGTAAAGTATGACTAAACTAAAGTAAAGTACGACTAAACTAAAGTAAAGTACGACCAAACTAAAGTAAAGTAAAGTACAGTAAAGTAAGACTAAACTAAAGTAAATTACGACTAAACTAAAGTAAAGTAAAGTACAGTAAAGTAAGACTAAACTAAAGTAAAGTACGATTAAACTAAAGTAAAGTACGACCAAACTAAAGTAAAGTAAAGTACAGTAAAGTAAGACTAAACTAAAGTAAAGTACGACTAAACTAAAGTAAAGTACAGTAAAGTATGACTAAACTAAAGTAAAGTACGACCAAACTAAAGTAAAGTAAGACTAAACTAAAGTAAAGTACGACTAAACTAAAGTAAAGTACAGTAAAGTAAGACTAAACTAAAGTAAAGTACGACCAAACTAAAGTAAAGTAAAGTAAGACTAAACTAAAGTAAAGTACGACTAAACTAAAGTAAAGTACGACTAAAGTAAAGTAAGACTAAACTAAAGTAAAGTACGACTAAACTAAAGTAAAGTACAGTAAAGTAAGACTAAACTAAAGTAAAGTACGACCAAACTAAAGTAAAGTAAAGTACAGTAAAGTAAGACTAAACTAAAGTAAAGTAAAGTACAGTAAAGTAAGACTAAACTAAAGTACGACCAATCTAAAGTAAAGTAAAGTACAGTAAAAGGCATCTTCATAGGTTTGTTTGAGAGAATGCACGAACTGATCAAATTACTTTGAATGCAAGTGGCTTTAGATAAAAGCATCTGAGAAATGTGTAATACAGAAGCACTATTCAGAAGATATTCATTATTGTTCTATTTTTTTTACGTAATGTCACCCGACCGTACAGTCAGTTCAGTTCCTCGTTCGCATTACACACTCGAGGACAGAGATTAATGCACTTCCTCAAAAACTCCATTGTTTCATGTGTATCGCCGTCCTGACTCACACTTTCTGAAAACTATAAACCTCTGCATTGCAAAATACTTTGCCAGCTTTAAAAAATCAATCATCAACTCCACTGGGTAGATCATAATTAAACAACAACTAACAAAGTTGTAGTGAAGTTAATCAGTTACGCTTACAGAAAACATCCATATACCAGATCCCCTTCAGACACGTGTTCAATCTACTGGGTTTTCATTCTTAACTGACATTAACTAACGAGACCTTATAAAATTGTACAATTAATGCATTCAATAATATTGTTAACTAAAACTATTACACAAAAAAGCTGAAATTAAAAAAAAATGTAAATGTTGGATGAAAAACTTGAACTAAAAATAACTTAAACTGAGAAAAAATAAACATAAATAGCAACATAAAAAAACACTAATGAAATGACAAAAAAATTAACAAAAAATACAAATAAAAGCTAATTTAAAATATTAATAACACTGGCATTAAGCAATTCATTTGTTACAGTATGCATTCATTTTTGGTAACGCAAGTTCATGTCAGCTCAGATCCATTAAATAATCTTAACAGATACAGCAATAATGTATTAGTAAATGTTGAAATTAATATTAACAGAGATTAATAAACGCTCCAGAAGTGTTTTTCATTGTTAATTAATGTTAACTAATGTAACTTAACTGATTAAAACATAAAATGTATATATAAAAATATAAATCAAATTTTCTTAATTTTAAATAAAAATACATTTTCTAAATAAAATTATTAAAAAATAAAAAAAGTACTAAAATCTTTAAAAAAGGTTGTGTGAAAAAACAAGACTAAAACACAAAAAACCCACTAAATATTAACTTTTATTAATAATATAAAATATAATATTAAAGTTTGCCAGCTAGCGCCAATATTTTTTATAATTTTCACAATCTTTCTCCAGAATAATTTGTTTAATTTGTGAGTATCAGAACATGCGATATATCAAAACTGAGAACAGATCCTCTGCTTTTAAACAAACAAGAACCATTTTACTCCAGCTTCTCATCAACACTCAATGCAAATACGGTGCATAAAAAAGCAACATTTCGAACAAAAGGCTTAAAAATTGCTTTTTTGTCAATGTCTACGACGAGTGCATAAGCAAACTTTGCACAATGCCTTTGCTTTGAATGTGAATCCTCACAAAATGTGTTAAAATGCAACATAAAACAAAAGGCCATCCGGTGAGCTCATGACGTGATGAGCGCAGACAGGCTCATTGTTCCCGAGTCTATTGTTCTGGAGTCAGTAAAGCATCATGCGGATCAGGCCATGAAAACAGCACATGGTTTCAGAGGAGAACGCTTGCAGAGCGAGTCTTTACAAGCCAGGCATTAACTGTGAATCATGGGAATAAAATCATTTCCTGCATTGCAACATTCAAGACTCGCCTCTGAACTGTCATCATCAATGCAAACAATGCTTTCGCACCGTCTCGTTTCCAGTCCATTTATCTAACAATTCTTAAATCAAGATGCATTTCCTAGATGAGTAAAATGCCATTAGATTTTAAGTCTAGATTTTTGGGAAATTAATCTTAAATTAAGAGAGTTGATGCTTAAAACAAGCAAAATTATCTGCCAATGGGGTCAGAAAAATTATCTTAATTCAAATGGAAACAGGATTATTTTTCTGACCTCATTGGCAGATAATTTGGCTTGTTTTAAACATCGACTCACTTCATTTAGATACATAATTTACATAATGTCATGTTGCTCGTCTAGTAATTGCATCTTGATTTAAGAATTTTTAGACCTTTGGACTGGAAACAAGACATTTCTTTGCAGTCATCACAGTTTCCCTGAAGGAAATGATTTGTGATTTATGCAAATAGGACGTGCGTGTTGTGACGTATGAGTTACCAGGTAGGCGATGACGTCGTATCCCTGTTCCTTGAGCCAGACCAGAATACAGGAGGTGTCCAGACCGCCACTGTACGCCAGAACCACCAAACCCTTCGACATCTCGACCCGGTGACCTTCAGCACAACACAGAGGTCAGCAAACGAGGGTCATTCATCATGTGACTCTCAGGTGTGTGAACTTCATGCACCTCCAGTGTGTCGAATGCAATACTAAAAATATTCTATTTCAGCTTTTTCATTCAAAATATTATGATGCGACTTTCATTCAATTCAAAAAGAATGCAAAATAGGATGTAAAATAGACATCACTACTGAATTTTCATTAATTAATGTCAATTTTACCTCCTATTTTGCATTCTTTTTTTAATTTAATGCAGTTTTTACACAATACCACATATTCTTACTTAGTAATAACAGTAAATTATGCATAATTACAAGTAACTAACCCCTTAACCGTAACTTGTAGTTAATTAATATCACACTCATTTGCTGAAATACACATTTAATGTTAAAAATATTCAATTTCAGCTTTACATTCAAAATATTACGCTGATAACACTGACTGGGCTACAGCCTCAATGCTTCTGAAATAAATGTCAGTAGTAGATATACGAGTCTTGACTTGAGGATTAGTGAGTTATACAGGGACGGGATCTTAATTTAGAACTATAAATGAATAAAATACATCTTTTACTGGATCTATGCATAATTCTATTTGGACAGTACTTAAATGAATGATGCAATCTGAAGCTGGTATTGCATCATATGATTACTTTCATTATGTTATTCCTAATAATCATTGATGATGTGCTCATAAAACAAAGCGAACATCAATCTGAAGAACAACCCAATCATATAACAGAGCCACAGCCCTTCAGAGTTTAGCTCGTACAGTACGTGTAGTTCACTAATGAGGTGAAGGACTCGATGAACCGGACGAGGTGTTCCAGCCTCTCCAGTGAACTGTCACTTTAAACATTTACAAATATCAAAATGCATCATAAATAACACATTTTATCTCTAAAGCAGTTTCCTTAGTGTAGTCATAAAATTGCATTAAATTAAAAAACAAAGCAAAATTGAATGTAAAATAGACTAGAAATAGATGTTTCTGAAACATACTAAAATACAACACTAAAAAAATTCTAATTCAATTTTTCATTTAAGATATGCTGATAATATAAGACTGCATTAAAGGTGAAACTGGAAAAATGAGAATATGGTGCAAAAGTTCATTTTTTTCAGTAATTCAACTTAAAAGGTGAAACTAATATATTATATAGACTCATTACATGCAAAGTGAGATATTTCAAGCCTATAATTTTGATGATTATGAATTACAGCTTATGAAAATATTGCACAATATTCTAATTTTTCGAGTTTCACCTGTGCATAAAAATTCAAAATGGAACTTCAAATAATAATCATTGTAAAAAATACCCACGAGTTGCTAAAATACAATTTTTTTTATTAACCCTTTCATGCATGTATATATTATGACAATTATTTCATGCATGGATTTTTCTTATGTGTTTTTATTGCTTTCAGGGCTTGTTATTTTTCAAGAGATTTTCAGATGTCCACTTGAACGGACAGTATGTGTTTTGGGTTTTAAAAGACATACTGCATTTAACATAATACAACAATAATGTGTGTATTTAACAAGACAATAAATAAAATTATATAAAATCATGTGAAAAGTATCAAATATAGATACCAAAAATATAACACAACTCCAATTAGCCTATTGCGAACGCTATTGAGTTTTGTCCCATTTGACCCTCACGCTCCCTCCCGTCTAGCAGAGTATATCGCTTTATCTTTATTAGCTGATGACATGATTATGCTCAAAGTGGACCAATTTCAACCGTAGATCTCTGAGGAAACCTCAGACTGAAGTCAACGTTAATCTATTGGGTTATTTTAGACTGTGGGAAGTAACACGCATTACATAATCAGTTTACTTTTTGATGCAACAAGTCATACATTATGTAATCAGATTAAATTTTGTGGTGAAACAAGTAAAATCACACATTACGTAATAATCAGATTTATGTTTTTGATGTAACAAGTAAAGAAATCCATTACAAGTGACATGCATTAAGTAATCACATTACTTTTTGATGTAACAAGTAACCCATTACAAGTTACATGCATTAAGTAATCAGATTACTTTTGGATGTAACAAGTAAAGAAATGCATTAAAAGTTACATGCAGTACGTAATTAGATGACTTTTTGATGTAATAAGTACGCATTACAAGTTACATGCATTAGGTAATCAGATTACTTTTGGATGTAACGAGTAAAGAAATGCATTGCAAGTTATGAATTAAGTAATTAGATGACTTTTTGATGTAACAAGTTACGCATTACAAGTTACATGCATTAGGTAATCAGATTACTTTTGGATGTAACGAGTAAAGAAATGCATTGCAAGTTATAAGAATTAAGTAATTAGATGACTTTTTGATGTAACAAGTTACGCATTACAAGTAACGTGCATTAAGAAATCACATTACTTTTTGATACAACAAGTAACACATTACAAGTTACATGCATTAAGTAATCAGACTACTTTTTGATATAACTGCAAATTACATTCTAATGACACAAATACATTTATAAACAGCCCAAATATTACTACAGATAAAGTATTTTCAAGAACTCACAGGATGAATTGTAGCTGAATTATAGCAAATGATGTATGAAGTCCAATTTAGTGGACAGAGGATTAATCAGATTTTTCCTCCCAATCTAATATCAATATTTGGAAAATTTAACAATGATATAAGAGTCTTTAGATGTTATTTAATGCAACAATTTTTGAAAGGGTTATGAAAGGGTTAACTAATTCAATTTCAGCTTTGCACACATTTGTTTAGTAATATCATAAAATTGCTTTAAATTAAAAAAGAATGCAAAATAGAATGTAAAATAGACCTATTCATTATAAAAATGCCAATTGAGTTGCTGAAACATACTAAAATATAATACTAAAACATTTTAATTCAGCTTTCCGTTCAAAATGGTATGCTAATAATGTCATAAAATCTACATTAAATTAAAATTAATGTAAAATTGGATATACTGGGGCTGTCTGGCTTTTAGAGCCTATGTATAAAATCATGTTATGAAAATGAAACAATTTTCTGAACGTATGCAATTCATTCAAGCTGATGTCAGTGCCACAAAACAAGAAATCTTTATTTTCATGGTGTGGATCTGTGATGATACTAAGAGTATTTTATTTCAACTCTGAAATGCCAGTAAAGCACTAGAAATGTGAGTTTAACATAACATCAGATGATTATAAAAGTATGAGTTTATAAATGATTAAGCCAGTTAAACTGCACTTTGAATCTATACACATTTATACATAAATAAAACGCTATTTTTATAAAACATGCAGAAATAACAGAGCACAACATGAGAATCAGCAACTATATCAATAAAACGTTTACATGTTGACATGAACAACAACCTGTTGAGATGTAAACAAAAAGGCTAAATCACGTCAAATTCATACTCATATGAATAGTGAACATAAAAACAAGACAAAAAACCCCGCAGGAACTCACCTAAACACAGCAGCAAATAAAAATGAATTATGAAAAAGAAGCTTTCAGATCCGAATCCAAATCCAGTTTGTTCGCTTGCAGCGTCTGATGTCACCCAGATACAGCACACATGTCATCAGCCACGCCCCTCGACCACATGAGCCAATCAGATCACGCTCAACAACAGGGGTGCGTCCACACAGGCCGGGATTGGCCAATCAGATTACGCTGTTTGTTTGCGTCGAGGCGTTCAGCCATTCAACAGAAAATCAAGCACTAAAAATGTCTGATTTTATCAATTTCAGGTGTACATGATTAAATGTTTGAGAATATTCAGTGGCACGTTCAAGTTCAAAACGGTGCGCAACGTTTTGCTACGGTTTCCTAGTTGAACGTCATGTTTCCAGGAAACGGTGTGCACTGTGCACCGGTGTGTGAGATTTTTTTTTATTTTTTATTCAATATTAACAATATAATACAACAACATCTGTTTATGCCAGGATTGATACACAAAATACACCACTAAACAGACATACAAGACAAACAATGACCGTAAAATAAAATAAATAAATAAAATAAAACAAGACCAAATTACAAAAAAAGGATGCTAATTAAACAAATTTGGAAAGTACAAGATCAGTCTTAATAGCCTTTCTATTTTTAAGACCTCTTACAGTGGTGTGTGATATTGTTTTAGCTCTGCTAAAAGGTGTTCAAAACTTGCCCATTTCTTCTTATGAATATGGAATTTTCCTAAGATTAAAAACAATTGGACAAGAAAAGAAAAATCCTTATCTGTTCCACCATCTTCAAAGTAAATAAACACATCTTTTTTCCTCAATGTTAAAGTCTTATATAGTTTTCAACATCTCTCCAAAATATCTTTATGTACAACCATAAAACAAATGACAAATTGTTTCGTCATAATTGCCACAAAAGGTACAGGAATATTCAATATCAATTTTAAATCTTTCTACACCGGTGTGTGAGATATGTTTTCTCTTGTTTGGTGGGTGCGTCAGAACTGCAATCCAATATTAATAGTATTAAAGTAAACTCGTAGGAAAATAATGCAGATCACTATGACTATATGCAACAACTGAGTATATTAGAAGATATGTTTGTCGTTTATTGTAAAAATATAGGATATCAATATAATGATGTAGTTTATTATTTTTTTTAGCTTCATTGCAAGTGTATGACATTTGGTATAGAAATAAAAAAAAAATGGTAAGTGCTTTTCCTAAAAATGAGAAAGAAAATTGCACTGTAAAAAAAATCTGTTAAATTTACGGGAAAACTCTGGCAGCTGTGGTTACCAGAGTTTTCCTGTTAAAAGTACGGTAGCGACATTTTAGGTTTTACAGACTTTGACCGTATTTAATTTTATAGCAATAAAACGTATTTCATTATTTGACATAGGCCTAATGTTAATTTACTGACATTTCGAAGTATACATATCTATTTTGTTCAATCTTTATTGTTTATTGTAATGAGAAAATGTTCAATTAAAACAAACAAACAAAAAGAACACAGAGAATGGCCTCATGTGTCATCAGAACGGGGTGTTCAACGCATCACCATTTCTGTTTATAAACGTTGTGCAACGTTTTGTCCGGGCTGAACACAGCCCTGGTGAAACCCAGTAAAAAAAGTTTTATGAATTTGCCGTTAAATTGTTTAGAGCAGTGTTTCCCAACCCTGTTCCTGGCGGCACACCTGCGCGTATTGTCTCCCTTATCAAACACACCTGATTCAATCCATCAGCTCATAATCACATTAATGAGCTGATGAGTTAAATCAGGTGTGTTTGATTAGGGAGACAATACGCGCAGTGTTGGTGTGCCGCCAGGAACAGGGTTGGGAAAAATCGTTAAAAATTATATCCTATTAAATGTATGCACTGTCCTCTGTAGGGGACACCAGGGCTCGTTTTTGTAAATAATAAAAATACATGAATAGGCAAACACTTTGCTTTAAAAAAAATCAACAATCAAGTTTTAGGTTTCAGGATGTTATAAACAAAACTTAAAGTTAAAACATGTTATGAAACATATAACAGAATGATTTGATATACCATTGTGTTAAATGGCCATAAACGGGTTTTCCATTCCACACAATATATCTACTTTGCATATTAATGTGTTCTTGCGGTAACGAAGAAGCGTGATAATAATGGCAAGATTTTCATAAACATTTCTAATATTTTATGTAGGAATATTGAAATATAATTTCTTTCCCTCTTAATTGCTGTCTCTCTCAAATGCCTGATAAACATGAATTAAGTCCTTGTATAGTCATGCAATCGATGTCTTGTTTCGTAACAAAAAGTAATATTTTGATTTGAAACCCCAAAACATTTTCCTGAGATGTTTATGACAAACAATGTAAGACAAAATGTCAGATTTAAATGATAAATATAAAATATATTTCTAAAAGAATGTTATATTTAAACGTTAAGTTAATGTCAGTCATAAGTCCATATTGTCAATGAGAATAAGTACAAATTCACTAAAATATAATATCCACTACAGACGACAATATTGGGTCGCTAGGATTTATGCTCACTTTCTCTGAAGTATTTTTAAAAGAGCCTATTGTTAGTGCCATCAAAACTTGTTCAATATGACATTGAAACATACAAATGTCATTCGTTATTGTTAGTTCTGCTTGAATATACAATGAAAAATTCAAAGTCATAAAAGGACAAGATGTTATAAAAATGGATTTATTGATTTAATTAAACTGGGAAAAGGCCAATAAACCAAACATCCGACAAACGCTTTTAATTATAATAATAAAACAAAATCACTCTTACACTCTAAATTAAAAAATTGCATAACTATTCAAACATCATAACACGATCGCTACATCGAATTGCTTTAAGGTCAAGTTCAAGTTCATTTCTGATAATAAACGTTGATGGCTTCTTGACAAAGCCTGGCCCAAAAGTTTAAAATTACATTGAAAAGCTTGAAGAAAAACAAAAAATACTAGCATGCTTTATGTTGCTATCATGTCGGTTGAATGATTTAACACATTCATAGCATGTCATTAGCCTGATTAACATTTTGTTAGCATGTTTAACTCGTTGCTAACAGTTAGCACGATTGGCTTTTTAAAATGTTGCTAGCATGATTACATGTGGGTAGCATGCTGCTATTAGTATGTTGCCTGCATGATTTAACACATTTCTAAATAACATGAAGCTCATTGCTAACATGTTGATATCATGATTTAACACATCAACATGTTTCAACATTTTGCTAACATGATTAGCATGTTGCTAAGATGTTTAGTTGTCCAAAGACAGTCAAGCTTCAATGATAGACAGCTTAATTTCTCCTTAAGTCTTAAGTTAGTGTACAAAAGTTTTGACCCCCTCACTGAAAGTCTATGGTACTTAATTTATAGTTGTTCTGATCGTCCATTTAACGAGAATCGGTTAGAGAAGATAGCAATCCGGTCTGAAACTGATTAAAATTTAGTCACAAAAGAAACATGATTAGCAAATTTATTAAAAACGCAAATTTAGTCATAAGATTGCATTAATTTGCATGACCTTTCCAAGTCTAGAAATCACACTTTTAAAGATTTTTATGTTATTTTTGGTTCATTTTAATGCTCGTTAGAAAGAACTGAGACACTTTATCATAATCAGACCACATTTTTAATTATTTGTTGGTTTTGCTTTATTTTTCCGCCATGATCTGATATTCAAAAATCAAAAATACAATATAACCTTCTGAAAAATCAATATAATGAATTGCTTTTTTAATATATATATATATTTATATAAATCAACAGAAAACACTTGAGCAAGACAATAGATCAAGTTGAAGAAAAGGAGCTCTCTCCTAAACTTCACATGCGACTCGAGACTGAGACGAAGTTCAGATGCACGACATTAGGAACGTTTTCCATTGGCAGTTTCTGACAAATTGAACCACAAACACTATAAAGCCTCCAGAAAGATGATGATCTGCTCCATCAGTCATTCACAACATGTTTAGTCCATTTCACAGCGCTTTTAAATACCAGAACCATCAGGGAAGTAAATTAGAAACACTAATGCGAAGTCAACAAAACAAAGGCGTTCCTGTTGCAATCAGTGGCGTTTGGTGAATAAAACTGACGCACTTTAAATAAAGAGGAAGTGACGTAATTTACATTTCCAAGAAATCACAATTTTATAGAGTGTTGTTTTCGGCTCATTTTAATACTCGTTTGAGACAAAAAGTTGTTGCAACACTAATGCGAAGTCAACAAAACAAAGGCGTTCCTGTTGCAATCAGTGGCATTGGAGAATAAAACTGATGTGCTTAAAATAAAAAAGGACGACGTGTTGTTCTGAAAATCTCTCGTCTTATTCACAGCAAAAATGCTTTTCTTACTTGGAGTTTTTGTCTTGTTTCCAGTCCAAATATCTAAAAATTCTTAAATCAAGATGCATTTACTAGAGGAGTAAAATGCCATAAGATAATATGTCTTGTTTTCTGGGAAATAAATTAAAATTAAGTGAGTTGTTGAGTTGCCAATGGGGTCAGAAAAATTATCTTTTTTTCTGTTTGAATTAACATTTTTTTGATCCCATTGGCAGATAATTTTGCTTTTCTTTAAGCAAAAACTCACTTAATATTGATCAAGACATATCTAATGTCATGTTATTTATCTAGTAAATGCATCTTGATTTAAGAGTTTTTAGATATTTGGACTGGAAACAAGACAAAAATACCGAGTAAGAAAAGCATTATTTGAAGTCTTCTCCTCCTCCTCGTCTTCACCACTCCTTCTTCTTCTCGTCCATGGACACGCCGCCCGGGCCGAGCGCCACCACCAGCAACAGGCCTCCGACGACAGACGTGGTCTGGAAGAAGTCGTACTTCAGGAAGTCATGCATGGGTTTGTACGCCGGCACTGTCCAGAAAGCGTTGAAGTAAACGTTGATGGCCAGAAGCCAAACCACCAGCGTCAGAGCCGCCAGTTTAGTCTTGAATCCCACGGCCACCAGGATGATGAGAGCCGTTCCCACCATGTTCTGGAGAATCTGGAACACAAAGACAGAGACAAATAAATGCTTATAATATAGTCTTGCTATAATATCTAACATTTCTTAAAACAAGATGC